CTCGAGGCAGAGCATGACCAATTCTCAGGACCCTTCCGCTTCTGATGGAGGAAGTTCTAGGCTTTTTGTGACAAGGTGTGGGTACCAATGGCAGCCTGTCCCTGATTTATTTTGGGTCACCTTGGGTAATTTGTTTCCTGTCTATGAGCTTGGGTAGTTTCTTTGCCTAAAAAATATATATAATCTTCAGCATTCACCCTGAATTCCTGCTTTAAAGGCACTACTAATTAGAAAGGAGAGCTGGAGGAGAGGATGGACTTTGCTCTGCCGTGGGAGAGAAAGGAGGTTGGGTGAATCCCAAGAGTGGCTGCTAACTCCATGTCTGACTTCACAGCCCTTATTTTGGTGCTCACCTTTTCTCTGTCACCATCTGGCTCCTGAGGGTCCTGTCTGTGTGAGCCACCAGGGAAGTGCAGTCATAATAATGGGCACCATTTACTCTTACTGTTATGAAAACTATCAGCACCAGCACGGGGCTGGTAATGACAGTGCTGGAGGTGATGCTGGTGGACAGTGATGATAGAAGTGGAGACAATAGGACGGTGGGGCTACAGATGGCTCCAACAGTGTGAGATCCACTAATACAAACTTTGACTCAATTCAGCAAAATTGTATCCCAAATCTAACTTCTCTTCCCACCAGCTCCTTTTGCAATAAAGGAGACCAAGGGAAAGCATAAAGGCATGTGCACTCAGATCTCTTGGGAAGGACAACAGAATGGGATGGCAGGGAGGGCAGAATCCTTCACTGAGCTGAACTGGAAATGCCTGATTGTCATTTCCTCCCTGCTTTGCCACTGATGCCTGCAGCAGCTGATCAGGAAGGTATCAGATGCCTTTACCGGTTGTCACCAACACCTGCCTCCTGAATCCTGATCGGGGAGATGGTGTCATCAGGCCCTCCAAATAAAATATTTAGTGGCACTTGCTTCCCAAAGAGGCAAGTGTGGCCTCTCCTGGGCGTTGTTAGTGTTCCGGCTAAGGTGTCCTGGGAGGCTCTGCTGATAAGGCGAGAATCCCAGAGTAGCACACCCTCATTTGAGAATTGGGGTGTGGGAGAGGAGAACTGGTAGAAGAACAGAGACTAGGCAGGTTCTGGCTCTTGAGAATGCATGTGATAAGTGACTTCACAAATGAGACAGAGACAATGTGACAAAGAAGGGGGCATCATTATTGAGGGCAAACTGCTGAGGTGGGCACTAGCAGAAAGTTAGGGTTAGGAGGACATGCTAGGCACACAAAGTCATGGGCATATGTTCCTACTGGCACATACCAAAGTGAGGGTGGAAAATTCATTCTAAGACAGATCATGGGATGGATAGAGGTGAGGAACTGGAAATATTGACAAATAAATTGCTGATAATAAAGGCTAATGTATATTGAACACTTAAAATAGGCTCAACACTGTTCTACGTGCTTTACATTTATAAACTGATTTCGTCATAATCCTATGAGATAAATACTAGTACTAAACTCATTTTATGTAGCTGGTGAGATAGCATCACAGGATAGCTAAATACCCTGACCAAGTGGACACAGCTATAGGCTCTGCTTGAATCCAGGCATCTATGTTCAGAGCTCATGCACAGTGTCTCACCAAGGGCACAGAGGCATGTGCCCTTCTGCCTTACTCTGAACTCAGATAGGAGGCCTGATCCTTGTCCTCTGGGCCCTGCTTTGGAACAGCTATTTGGTAACCATCAATCTTGGTGTAGGAAGACAGAGACTCTCCACTTGCCCTTGAAGTCAGCTGTCTTTATGAAAGCCACACTGCAAAGGTGAGGTGCAAACCTCCCCTCCACCTCTCACTGCAAGAGACCATGCCTCCTCTTGACTCCAGTGTCCACTGACAACTGCTCCCAGGTGGGTGGTCTCTGAGCCCCATGGAATGAATTCACGTGGCTGATCACCAAAAGTAGTCTGTCCCAGAAGATGCTGCTTTAGGGGTAAGAGGAAAACAACCCAGGTGTAGTGGTCTGTTGAGAACTCCTGGCCTAATCAGCCCCACAGGGTAGTATAGAAACACCCCAGCTGCTACTGGGATCACAGATTCTAGAAACTGAAGGAACCGAGCCTCAAGGTATCATTTCATCTGAAAGAAGAAATCTTCGATTGACTAACAGCTTTTATTTTCCGATCAACAAGGGAAACGCTAGATAAGTCTAAAGCCACATTGTAACTCATAAGTGACACTGGCAGAATTTGAAGCCAGGGCTTCTGAGTCCCCTGCCCTTCCTCCTGCTCCAAGACCCCCTGCCTTCTAGCCATCAGACCAATTTTGCCCATTCTCTGTCCAATTCTCAGGACCCTGCACTTTAACCAGCCTCCCTGCAGTCTGGGGAGAGGCTGTGTTGGGGCGTGTGCAGTAGTGTGGCAGAGAAGAGCTCCTTGGATCTCCTCCCTTTTCCCTGCGACATGCTTCCCAGACTGAGCTCTGCTGCTGGGTCAAGGAGGGCTGTGGATCGAATGTCCACCGACAAGGTTCATCCCATGGAAAGGGAGAATATAAGCAAAAAGAGAAGTCAGGAGCTCTGGTGGGGGGGCTTCAATGATAATAGCAATGAACGTAAGTTAAGCATTCAAGGTGTGCCAGGCAGCGACAATGCAGGAAGGTTTGTCTATATTATCTCACTTACTGTCATGACAGCCTGAAAGGTGGGTACTATAATTATCCCCATTTTACCAGAAAGGAAGATGAGACTTGACTTGCCCAAGGTCCCAAATTTGTTTCCAAAATCTGCCTAACAATAAAAGCCACTCACTATTCAGGCTGTGTCTTGGGAAGATGCTGGGCAATGAGGTGAGATGGTTGATCTGAACCTCACATCGTGTTCTTCAGTGTTATTTCTGCTACCAGGCCCCACTTCCTCCACCTGCAGGCTAAACATCTATGTGCAGGCCTGTTGTGGAGAAGGCAGGAGTATACTGTCCACAAATTCAGTGTGATAGTGTCTCGGAGAGCACTTTCTAAAATGCAGACACCAAGCACAGCATGGTGGCAATTAGCCTTCTCCTCATGGCTTCCAGTGGGACACATTACTCTTCACCTGTGGCCAAAGGAACTTTCCTTCCCAGAGAGAGGGCTGTGCAGGGAATGGCCTCTTGTGTTGGTTCCCTGTACGGCAGGGGAATTTGAGGATTCTGTTATTTCCTTTCCACGGCTCCTCTTGAGGAATTCACGTCCTGCTACCGGCCTCAGGACATAGCTAAAAATAACCTCTGGTTTTCAAACCGAAAGCTCTGTCTGTTGGGAGGCTTTGCCGGTGTTCTTGTGGGGCCGGAAGGGCTGTATCAGAGGAGCTGAGGTCAGCCTGAGCCTCTCGCTGGTGTTGCTTTCCTCTTTCCAAGGAAGCCGGGGGCCTTGTGACTCACTCGAGGGAAGTCAGATGGGTCCTTCCCTGGCACCCTGGTGGCTGTCGGGCCTAGGCTGCAGAGTTGAAGAGGAGGAAGGGGGATTTCTGAAACTATAAAGAAAAATCTGGGGAGATTCTCAAGAGTGTCTATTCGAATTATAACACAGTCCAACCTGATTGGGGTGTTGGGGAACAGACAGGCCTGTCCTAAGCTGCCTTGGAGCAAATTCTCCAGCCTTTGCTTGGGCGTTTCCATTCCTGCCACCTCATGTGCCCAGAGTTCTGTCTGGACTTGTCAGAGGAGGTTGCCAGATGATCTGTCCAGCTGGAGAAAAGGTTTCTTTGCTGGATGGCTCACTGCCTCCTCCTCCTGGTACTGCTGCCACGGCCATAGTCCCTGCTGGTAAAAGTCAGAAGCAACGCAGTGATAGTGCCCATACAGGGTCTGCTCCAAGTCCCTGCAGGCAGAAAAGCTTTAGAGCCTGGGAGTTGGAAGGGAGGGGAAGGAGTCAAGGAGTCAGGGTTGGAGATGGGGCTTCGGGCACAGCCGACTGAGGCCAGGGTTGATTTCACAAATGCTCCCATTGTCAGGTGCCTCAGCAGTGGCTAGAAGGGGACTGACCCTCAGCTCGCCTCCCTTTGCTCCACCTCATGTTTTCCCAAACCCAGAACTCCTGCCCCAGTGGCTGGAGCTGGACTCGGATAGCCAGTCCCCCTTAGCAAGGAGACCTCCGTGTGTTCCTCCTGCACAGAAGGAGAAATGGAAGCAGTCTGCCCAGGACCTGGCTGCCTGGCTCCCAGGGAGGCAGTGGCAGGACATCCGCCTGTCAAATGGATGGCGGGAGTCGCCTGCCCATCTCACGGGGGCTTTCCAGGCTCCCAAATGACACATGTGGGAATCCCAGTCTCACTGGCCATGGTACATGTCACTTTTCTAATGAGTCCTAACAGCTGAAGATCAGGGGCTCTTTTTTCTGGAGAAGAGGCTGAGGGCAGGGAGGGGCACTGTCATTCAGGGCGACCGGCTCTCTTCCCTGTGGACGACACAGAAACGCAGCAGTGCGAGGTAGCTGAAGGCCAAAATAATAAGGAATTTTATTCTCCATGTCAGACTCTGGGAGTAGGTGACAGGGAGAGCCAGGCAGAGGACATTCCTAACAAGCTTTTAAAAGACAGGAGAGATTTCCACCTGGCTGGGGTAAGATGTGACAATTGGGTGGCAAGGCTGGCTGTAGTCCTGACGTCAGATTGACTGGCCGGGTGAACTTAAACAGTCTCTTAACCTCTCTGAGAGAGAAAAACGATGTCTTGAGGACAGAAATAGAGATGCTTTGTAGAGTTAAAAAGTATTTTACAGCGTAAAGGCTGGAGACCAAAATAGATAATAGGATTCCCTGAACATACCTAAGAGGGAGAAAGTAGGTTAAAAATAGAAAGACTGAAATACAGAAGGAGACTCACAAAATAGATAATAGGATTCCCTGAACATACCTAAGAGGGAGAAAGTAGGTTAAAAATAGAAAAACTGAAATACAGAAGGAGGAGACTCAGAGAGCTAGCCAGGATCGGGGCCCTGGGTCAAGAGATCCCATCCCCACATCCCATAACTGATTTTCTGTCTGACCACACTCTGCCCTGTGTTTTCCAGAACCATGTGAGGCCCACCCGGGAAGGCGGAGTCGGTGAGAGCACAGAGGATCTGTCTGCTCCTCCTTGCCCCGCTCAGGATGGAACACAGGAGGCCCTGGCCACGGGCCCCGGAGGTTGACAGCTGGTCTGTGGTCCTGCTGTCGGCGGTCTGGGTGCTGCTGGTCCCCCTGGCCACCAGCATCCCTCAGCTCAGCACCTTCCACTCTGAGAACCGTGATTGGACCTTCAACCACTTGACCGTCCACCGAGGGACCGGGGCTGTGTACGTGGGGGCCATCAACCGGGTCTACAAGCTGACGGGCAACCTGACCATCCAGGTGGCTCACAAGACCGGGCCGGAGGAAGACAACAAGTCCTGCTACCCACCCCTCATCGTGCAGCCCTGCAGCGAGGTACTCACCCTCACCAACAACGTCAATAAGCTGCTCATCATTGACTACTCCGAGAACCGCCTGCTGGCCTGCGGGAGCCTCTACCAGGGCGTGTGCAAGCTGCTGCGGCTGGACGACCTCTTCATCCTGGTGGAGCCGTCCCACAAGAAGGAGCACTACCTGTCCAGCGTCAACAAGACGGGCACCATGTACGGGGTGATCGTGCGCTCCGAGGGCGAGGACGGCAAGCTCTTCATCGGCACGGCAGTGGACGGAAAGCAGGATTACTTCCCGACTCTGTCCAGCCGCAAGCTGCCCGGCGACCCCGAGTCCTCAGCCATGCTTGACTACGAGCTGCACAGTGATTTCGTCTCCTCCCTCATCAAGATCCCCTCGGACACCTTGGCCCTGGTGTCCCACTTTGACATCTTCTATATCTACGGCTTTGCCAGCGGGGGCTTCGTCTATTTCCTCACTGTGCAGCCTGAGACCCCCGAGGGCGTGGCCATCAACTCGGCCGGAGACCTCTTCTACACCTCACGCATTGTGCGTCTCTGCAAGGATGACCCCAAGTTCCACTCGTACGTGTCCCTGCCCTTTGGCTGCACCCGGGCTGGGGTGGAATACCGCCTCCTGCAGGCTGCGTACCTCGCCAAGCCAGGGGACTCCCTGGCCCAGGCCTTCAACATCAGCAGCCAGGATGACGTGCTGTTCGCCATCTTCTCCAAAGGACAGAAGCAGTACCACCACCCGCCTGATGACTCTGCCCTCTGTGCCTTCCCCATCCGGGCCATCAACCTGCAAATCAAGGAACGCCTGCAGTCATGCTACCAGGGCGAGGGCAACCTGGAGCTCAACTGGCTGCTGGGGAAGGACGTCCCATGCACCAAGGCGGTAAGGAGGCACTCACCGTGCTCTGCTTCTGATTCGAGGTGCATGTTAGGACTTTCCTGTCCATGCCCCTCTGCACCAGGGCCTGACATGAAAGAGGTTTCCAGGCTCACGTTATCAAGTGGCAACCAAAAACACAGGGTCTTATGTACACTAGATACTGGGGACATGTTTGTTGATTTATTAAATCATGCCAAATATATGTATTGGGTGCCTGTGCCACACTGAGCACTATTGTAGGTCCTGCAGGCTTCAGCAGTGAACCATATGTCATAGCTCCCCTACCTTCATGGGGCTTACAAATGAACACATAAAACATACAGTCTGCCAAATGGTGATAATTGCAACAGAGATAAATAAAGCCGGTAAGGGGGAGAGGCAGTACCCAAGAGGATGGACTTGCTGACAAAGTGGCATTGGAGCAAAGACTGAGGATGGGAAGAAAGTGAGCCATGCAGGCTTCTGGGAAAAGCATTCCAAAAAGAGGGAGCAGCGAGTGCAGAGAATTCAGGACATGCCCGAGTGTTTGAGGAATAGCAAGGTGGCCATTGCAGCTGGATCAGAGTATGTGAGAGAAAGAGCAGCAGATGAGGTCATAGGTACCTGGGCCAAGGTCATGTACATGCAGAGCCATAGGCCACTGTGATGCCAAGCGAGGGAGTAGAGTAGGCATCAGATATCTAAGTCGGAGTCAGAAGCGAGTGGAGCTTGACCGATAGATTGAAAACTGGAGAATAACAATCAGGGCGCTGGGCAAAGGCAAAGAGGAGGGAAAAGCGAGCTCAGGATCCAGACCTGAGAACAGCAGAGACAAAGTCAGTGGCAAGCACCGTTCTGCCAGAGGGTGAGATGTTGCCATCAGAGTGTTCACCATGAGCCGCACATCCTTCCATCCATCCCTCCATCCAATCTTTCATCCATCTATCCACCCATCCCTTCATCTATCCATCCCTCCTCCTACCCTCCCTTCATCCTCCCTCCATCCATCTATTCCTCCATCCATCCTTTCCTTCTCCTTCCCTTTCTCCCTCCCTTCATCCATACATCTGTTCATCAATTCACCCATTACTTTATCCACCCATCCCTTCTCCCTCCTTCCCATAAGCCTTTCCTCCATCCTTCCATTATCCATTCATCTACCTAGCCCTCCATTCATCCATTTATTCCTCCCTCCATTTATCATTCATCCATCACCCATCTCTTCATTTAACAAGTGGGTACTGAAGATCATCTGAGTGCCTGGCAATATACTAGGCACTAGGGATGCATACATAAAAAGAGATGATTACTACTCTTACAGATCTCATAATCTAGTGGGAAGAGAGACAGAGATAAAAACAGCTGGCAACATAACATAGTGGCAAAGTATTTGGGCTTCTGAGACAAAAAAAAAAGGTTCAAATGTTATCTGTGCTACTTCCTGGCTTCAGAAGTGATTTAACATGTTTACATTCTCATCTGTGAAATGGGAATCATAATGTCTACCTTGTGGGACGTTCAGATGAGATAATATATGGCATTAGAGCTCAGTGTTATAACACAAGATAAAAGGTTCACATCTCTGTACCTACCAGCTGCCAAAAAGAGAGAGAGAGGACATGTGGGGAGATTTGCACCATGCCTGGAAATGTTAGGTTTACCATTGTTAGTTAACTGTTAGCAAGTGTGACAAGTGCTAAAACAGGCTTCTGTGCAAAGTACTGTGGGCTCTGGATCTGCAGCCTGGGGAAAAATCTGAGACTAAGGGGCCCATATGGCTGCCTTCTGAGTACCCTAAATTGAGAGCACCTGCCATTGGGACCAAAAACCACTTCTTGAAGCAGGAAAACAGATCATGCCTAGGTGATGCTTCTGTTCCCGTCATGATTTGCTCGGTACAGTAGGATAGTGGTTAAGACAATAGGCTTTGAAGTCCAATAGATTGGGATTAAAAATCAGTTCTACCACTTCCTCCTTGTATGACTTTGGGCAAGTTATGTGCCTGTTCTGAGCTGTAATTTTTTTCGTCTTTAAAAGAGATAATATTACCCTCTTTTTTTTATTATAATGAGGATCAAGTAAAAAATTTATGTAAAACCCTTAGCACAATACCTGCCACAAAATAAGCATTCAATAAATGGAGAGCTATGATTATTATTATTAATCACAGTAATAAAGAACCAGTTATATTCTTAGTTCTCTTACATTTATAAAATGAGGAAATTGGAGTAGATAATCTCCAAATTTCTTTTCAGCCCTGAAATTCTGTGACCAATGACCCTAACCCATTAAGAGCAGTGGAGAGGAAATGTAAGGGTTAACCCCTTTCAGAGTCCGGCCTGGTTCCCATAGCCCAGAGGGGGCCTTGTCAGGAGGAAACTGCTGATTCCTGCCTGCTTCTGAGCCAAAGGAAAGAGGAAGACGACACCCTCCTCTGCTCCAGTGGTGGTGCAGAGAGACAAGCCTGGGCTAGTGACCAAAGGACAGCAAAGGCACTGGGAGAGAGGTGACATCAGATGGGACCAGGATCTCAGAGTGAAGAGCCCCTGGCCCTCCATCCCTTCAACGTCACACACAGCAAAGGCACTGGGAGAGAGGTGACATCAGATGGGACCAGGATCTCAGAGTGAAGAGCCCTGGACTTCCATCCCTTCAGTGTCACACCCTTCTGTGCAGCCTTGACAGCAGGGGACTGCAAGAAGAAGGGTCCTTAAAGGTTCTTATAATCCAAAGGATCCCAGACCTGGGAACCCAGAGACATTTTGGTGGTCTTACAGGGGATTAAGGATTCATGAAAGAAGCTGTGGCCCCAGACTTTGATTTTAACATGATCTCTGGAATAACATGGAAATCTCAGATCAAGGGTTTGAGCTCTATCCCCAGAAAAGGGATGGGAAAGAGGACTATCACTTATTGAGTAGCAGTTATGTGCTAAAGGCTATGCTGGGCAATTTAAGTGTTATCTCACTTGCTCCTCACAATGGCCCTAGAAAGCAAGAACTATCCTCATTTTACAGATGGAAAAACAAAGGCTCATAAAGACTAAGCATGACTATAAATGATAAAGCAGGGATGTGAATTCAGTTTACCCATATGACTTCTGAGTCCAAGCTCTTTCTGTTTAGCCATTCTGCCTCTAAGAAAAGCCATACCACAGGCTTTCACCATCTGAGCAAAAGTAAAGGGGCATCAGGTGTTGGGGAATATCTGACGTTATATTGAGAAAGAAATTGAGGAGATAAGGAAATGCCAGACAATCCCAGGGGCTTGAGCTCAGGGAGAAAAAAAAAAAAAAAATTCTTTACAGTTCTAGAGATCTCAGAATTGGGGAGAATGTTGAGAAATCCACAATTACCAGCACATTTTTGCTTCTGTCATCATTTCTCAAAAGCTGGCTTGGGCTATGCCTGTGCCCAGACTCTGCAGCCTTACCAGCACCTGCAGAAGGTGGGAAAGAAACTGAAGCCACAAGATCAAGGACTTTCAGAGCTGACAGGAAGTTTGACAGTTACTTGTTTCAGTCCTTTTACTTTACAGATGACAAATCTGAGGCTCAGAGAAGGTACATCACATATCAAGGTCATATAGCTGGATAGTGGTAGAGACAGGACTAAAATCTGGATTTCCTAAGTCTTACCAGGGCAGCTGCTGCCTACAGTGTAGGAATGAGGAAGAGAAGTGGAAAGCATAAAAGGTAGTAGCTGATTACTCCGACCTGCCTGTCTAAGGAGATAGAAATTCCCATCACTGGCTCCAGTGGCATACTGGTAAATATTAAATAACTGACTCTGTGCAGGCAAGGGAGGGATGGGAAAGCCCTGGTTTTTGAAAGCCTCCTACCATGGCTGATTTCAAGCAACAGTGTGATGCAATCTTCTCTCATGAACTGGCCCTACCATGCCACTGCTTCACTCCCTTCCTGAGAAGCTCATTCCTTCTGCCGTGGGGGGCTCTATGTTATCCAGAATTCATGGGTCATCCTTGACCTAAGACATTGGCTTCCTTTGCTAAAGAATACACACACACATAAGAGAGCACCATCATTCCCAGTAATAGCAGGAGCAGCAGCTCTCTACAAAACAGTACGGGATCACAAGAAACGAGTCTCTGTTCCTTTGGGATTGAGACAGGAATGGAAGGGAAGTCCCTGGTTTAAAAAAAAAAAAAAAAAAAAAAAAATCATGTGCTGTAGCTTATAAACCAATTATTCCAAGGAAATGAGACTGTCAGCAAGTGATGATGTGTCAGCCTGCTCTTCCCTCATGAGGGTGAGAGGAGGAGGTTGCAGGCAGCAGGGAGCAGACTTCTCTCTGATGCCTTCTATGCTTCCCACAATAGCCATTTCCTTCCACCTCTGCGAGGCCTCCCCAGACCCAG